CCATGCCCTCCCCTCCATGAGGGACTGAACCCCTCAAAATAAACAAACAACCCCCCACTTCCTGAAGCTACTTGTTGCCAAGTGCTGTCACAGCAACAAGAAAAGCAACCAAGCCAGGAGACTGGTACCGGAAGCTGCCGGAATAGCTGGTCACGTGGCTTTGCAGGCCTTTGGAACTGGCTTATGGGTCAAATGTAGAAGAATTCTAGAATGCTCAAATAACTAACAGGCTGTTCTGATGGGAGTGTGGAAACCAGAATACCAAGAGAAACATGGACAGTGGAGACGATGCTCACAAAATGCAACAGGACGCTATGAGGACCAGGGCGGAGACCATCCATGTCACACTCTGGTGAAAAATCCGACTGCATTCTGCCCATGTCCTGAGAACTTGAGCAGGAAGAAATTTAAAAAATAACTGTCTAAGTTGGTCGGTAGAACTTAAAGACAGCATAGGCCTAGGGTATGTCACGGTTTCCGCTCACTGCTCCCGTCAGATCCACAGTTAGAGCAGAAAGACAGGAAAGTGCAGGGTTTGAGGAACAGCCATAGCGAATGTCTAGTTGGGAGCAAGAACTCAGCGGAAGTGGCTTTAAATGTTGAAGATTAGCACCACTCAAGGGAAACCTTGAGCGGGCACTGAAACAATGGGTAAGGTGTCCAGAGGCAACGCCTCACCATTTCCTCAGTCAGTCCCACAGGCTGGTCTCCACATGAGCTGAGGACCAACATTTGCTCTCTCTGCTTTCTGACGGGGGACATAACAGAACCGGCCACATCGTGTGCTGCAGCCTTGCCTTCCTGTGATGATCACTGTATCCCTTCAAACCACGAGCTACAACAAACCCTCCCGTTCTTAAATCTCCGTGTCAATACCGAGTCACAGCAACCAAGAAGTATGGTTATTGTCTTTTATCATACATAGTTAACAGTTACATTCCTGTCTGGACCATTTTTACATGCTTCGTGTTTCCTTACATCTGACATCATCCCTTTGGGGTCAGTCCCTGTCGGTAAAATGTCTGTGGGCTGTGAAGCTCAGAGTTAGATATAAATGTGGCTGCTGTGCCCTTGATCTTGGCCAGAACTGTCCTAGAGATGGCACTGCTCACCAGTGGGTGACAGCGTTTTCCAGATAAGACCTCTGGCCCCTGCAAAACTGAGGAGCGGTCCACTGTCGATCGCTCTCATTAGTAGGAAAAACTCTTCTCTCCGGGAGCTTTTAAGTTTCCCCTTTCACAACAGGGAGACTGTCAGCCTGGAGTGCTCCCTCGCCCAGGAGTCCCTTCTGTCACTCAGTCACTTGCCCTCAGGACAGGGTCTGCAGTGTGGCTCTGCACACTTCTGAGAGTCTATTCCATCCCTGTTCCAGAAATGTTTATCATCATGCTTGATGGCTTTAGCAACCTAAGTCTCTACATTTCTCTGACTTGGCCAACTTTGCTTTTTCTTTGATATAGAGGGCAGTCTTAATATAGGCACAAATAGTCACAATGCCTGCCTATGGCTTTAAAAAGAGAAAAAAAAAAAAGATTAGAGCAATGCTTCCTAGGGCTAGAGGAACAGCACAGAGATGAAGAGCAGATACTTAGCACTGCTCTTGCTGAAGACCAGAGTTCAGTTCCCAGCACCTTCATCGGGCAGCTCACCACAACCACCTGTCACTCCAGCTCCAGGAAGCCAGGCACATTCAGTTCTGTAGTAGGAACCTGCACCCACGCGCACATACACACATCTAGCTTCTGTAGGCTCCTGTGTGCACGCAGGCCTCCATACCGAGCAGTATATCCGGCAGAGCAAGTCTGGAAATGCTGCAGGAACTGGGAAGAGGAGCTGGGAAATGAAGGGGAAAGGAAGGCCTTTCGGAGCTGGAACTTCTAAAGACATCACTTAGGATAAACTCCATTTGCTAAAATACAGAAGGCAATTTTCCAGGCATTGGTTTACTTGACCACCCCATCTCCTTAAAGAGCAAAGCCCAAAACCAGCCAGAGCCCGCAAGTCTAAAGGAACGGAGGGGAGAAGACAGAGAGCCTCGGCCTCGGAGACTCCGAGGCTGCACTCCTGTTCCCGGGGCCACTGCTTTGGGGCCACCCTCCATCGCCCCCTTCTCTGCTCAGCCTCTAGCAGCCCCTCTTATCTACGGCACTGCCTATTCCTAGTCTGCGTCACACACGTTCACGACTTCAGTGACTTTGCCATTGGCCCCACATCTCCAACCCCAGTTCAGTTCTGTCCTCTGACTCCGGATTCACATATCCAAATGGCTACTCTCCATCAACAGGCATCTCAAGGCACCACACACTCCTGCAGCCCCATCTTACCTCAGGACCTGAGCTCCTCCTCCTCCTCCCCACAGCACCCCTGCCCTCATCCCAGCCCCAGCCCCAAAGCTTCCCATGGCTATCTACCATCTTTACCTACCCGGTAATTTTAAGTCAGAAATCCAAACTCACTCTTCACACTCTTTTTTCCTTTTCCCTCAAATGCAAACCACAACAAATCCTAATGATTTTAACCCTTACTCTTGTCTTCTAACCTGGGGGTGTGGCGCAGTGGTGAAGTGCTTGCCCAGCATGCACCTGGCCCTAGATGTCATTCCTAGTACTTAAACAAACAAACAAACAAACAAAACCTCTTTTCTCCTACCCTGCCATGGCCCCATTCCAAACTGTCACCATCTCTCACC